AGGTTTTTGGGTCTTTTTAGGAAGACGCTGCTGCTCATCTCTTGGTTTAGTACTGTCTGTCACATCTTACGACACCCATGGAGCGGTATGCGGTAGAGGATATTATTACACCTCCACTACACGGTTTATATTTTTTAAGCTGTGATATTGAGGGTGGGAGTCATTTTTGGTTCTAGTACAGTAACCTTGCCAACATACTTCGTCACTGATAATGACATTATAAAGCGTGACATTGTTGTTATAACTATTAATTAAAGTATCAGCAATTTTCCCGTATGACATAGTAGTGCGTTTGAACTACGTGAAAAAATTACTTAATTGTTTATATATTGCATTGCATAGTAAGCTGTTTTAAACATATTACATAATAGAAATTAGACGTGGTTAGCATATCATAACCACGTTTTTTAAAAATTCCACTGTTATAGCTAAACTGTTGCCAACATTGCGCATAAAAATAAAACGCAATTAATAATACGTATAGTACGTGAGGGTAATATGACCATACGGTTAATATGGTCACTTTCTTGTAACTCAAAAACTACAGCCTTTTTTGCATGGCTTGCAGATGGCTTTGTGATACGATAGCTCATCGTTGGTCAATCAAATATTAAAAGGTCAAAAGGGCAATGCTTTATTGACGCCATTTTGACAGCTGATATTATAGTAAATATTTCAGTCGATTTTAGTATGATTTTAAGTTAGTTTTTAAGTAGATTTTTCGAAGTGTTCCTAATTATTGCCAAAGCTTGTTTGCTTTTTTTCTTAATATATTAGTTATATATAGTACAGGTGTTTTTGTCTCTGTCCTTCTTTTACTTTTGGTTTTATAGGGAGGCATAGTTCAAGTAGAAAAAAAATTAATATCAAAAATTAGAAAAACAAGTTTAACTCTTTAAATAATGGGAATCACGAAAAGAATATTTATTATATGTAGTAGAGCCATGCTGTATTTTTATATATAGAATAGTTGTAACATGAATGGGTCGCTCGACCGGAGAAGGACCACGATCTCACAGAATACCAGCGTAAAATAGTAGCTTAATGCTGGTGTGTTTCGTATGGTGAGTTTCGTATGGTAGAGAACCGGAGACGCTTTTTACTGGAAACGCGGCATTCCATCTTAGTCCCCACGGTTGATAACGCATCTGCATTTTGATTTGAAATCGAGGATAGATATAGTGTGCTAGTTTGTCACCCTATCCTGTAAAAAATAGAATATTTTCTTTTCTTACATGTAATGTAGGTACTAAGTAATAAAAATACAGCTTTAATATCATTATCGTTACAGCCTGTTAAAGTCCATTGGCAATTTTTATAGACATATATTTTGGATCTTAAGTTTCATTAATTCGACAAGTTTGATACGTTTTCTGGTTGCATTTTTAACATGCTACAACTGTGCATGTACAAATGTAAAAAGGACTTTTGATTAATTCCTTTGGACTGATTTTCCGTTACAGGATAGTTATAGTGTACGAGGGTACGCGCAAACACAAGTGCACTCTCTATTCCCTCAATCTCATAGTCCGATGAGGCGGTAATTCGACACGACCGGAGAGTGATCAGGCGCAGGACCAACGACTTTACGAGGATCACTGACCACAAAATTACCGCCAACTTCCTGACTCTGGGATGTTCCTAGGAATTTCTTGACAGAAGAATAAAATATCTGATTTTGGTCGCAAACCGGGAGTCGAATCAAATTAACGGATAGCACAGGTTTATATTATTTTAACTGAACAAATTTCTAAACTACATTATATTACTGTAACTATTTGAAGAAATTAATAAAATAACCCTTGTGTTAGTATTGAAATTAGACAAAAGAATATCCATTATAGAATAATATAGTGAAGTACTTCGAGCGTCGCCAAGTGAAAGATTTCGTCAAACATTTAGAGGTTTGTTGAATACAATACCGTGGCAATGTAAACATTATCTCGGCACTCTGTTATTGTTCAGCACACTGTAGCATCCGCAGATCTATACGATACTTATAAATAACTACTATAATTCTGTGTTCGAAATATCGCATTGTTTGCATAACTTGTTTTTTAAATATTTTCAGGAAAAGAAATCTTAGGTGACTTATGTCAGGAACATAACATACACATAGTTTTCTTTTTTGCACGGTTATGGCAGAGTATCTTTTCAATTATATAAATTTCATTTCTCGCCGTTCATGAAAAATACCTAAAAATGTACTCAAGTTTGTTCACGTTTAGATATTATAATTGAAACCCAAATAATGTATTTTGTACCTTCCATTTAACCATATTCATTCAATCATCATTCATTACAGCCGGTCAAAACTCACTGCACAGGTTTCCATCGTATGATGAATTTTATGAACGATCGAAGCAAATGACTCAAGACCATGCTTTCTGGTATTACATGGAGAAGATTCATCAGTGACGATGATGAAAATGTTGTTCTCAAAAGTAAAGTAAAAAGTAAAATAAGACTCGCTTCAACTCATACCGTGGGTATTGTTGGTATTGTTAACATCTCAAATATTGACATATATAATAAATTTAGACTAAAAAAAAGCTCGCGGCCTGATAAAGCTGTAAAAGCCTAATAGTCTAACAGCACTTACAACTCAGAGTAAAGACTGAAATAGGGGAATTATATTTGAAATATAGAGAAATCCGAACACGCTACAATATGTGTGACCCAACCTAACAGGCTGTTCTTTTTTAGACCAAAGCCGTGGTATCCTGATGGGCTGTAGCGATTGTGGCATTGATGTTGATGCTGGTATGGCCGCATCCAGCGCAGAGCGATTCGAATTGTCGACGACCGAGTTCTTTCTGATCGTTTCGATTCACTGACGCAGAGATGTTGTATCCCTATGCATTTACTATCGCGTCTACCACGAGGAATATTCTCAACAATTGTTCGATTAAATTCCAGCTGTCAAATTTCACCAAAGCACATGGCGATATAACTCGCGATATCATCCACTCCATCTGATTGCTTGGAGGTCTACTACTGTGTGTTTTGCTAGAATTTTTCTCCTCGCACAACTTCTTTCCGGAATCGTTTACCACCGGCCATCCCGGCGACTCCAAACCAGTTTAACAGTAAGTGACAACGCATCTGCGTTTTGATTCTTCATCGAGGATAGATGTAGATGTCTATGGGCCACAGCAACCACTTACCATCATGTGGATTGTCTGCTCATTTGTCACCCTCATTCTATAAAAAATAGTGCGACTTAAAGATCTCCAAGAAACGAGCGTTTATACATGGTAGAGCCACGCTGCAGCTATTATGGTTGTAGCATGAATGGATCGGCTCGACCGGGGATTGACCACGCTCTCGCAGAATACCAGCGTAAAATAGCAGCTTAATACTGCTGTATTTCGTATGGTGAGTGTAGAGAACCGAAGACCCGTTTTACTGGAACCAAGGTATTCCATCTTACTCCTCAAGGATGACAACGCATCTGCATTTTGATTCTTAATCGAGGTTAAATGTAGATGTCTATGGGCCACAGCACCCATTTACCATCAGGTGGACTATGTGCTCGTTTCTCACCCTCTCTATAAAAACGATCTTATTCCTTTTTAAAAGACTGCAACGCATCTGCAATTCCCCTGGTGTTGCAGTTGTTTATGGGCGGCGGTCGACACTTACCACCAGGTGCACCGTATGCTCGTTTGCATCCTCCTCTATAAAAAAAATATTTTCTTCATCTTCAGCCCGTAAGAGTGCACTGCTCGATATGGTTCTTTTTTTGGAGGATTGCCTAGATCGTCACGCTTGGCGGGAGGATGACGTTATTAGTACCAGATGTCTTGGACCTTTGAGAACGCTGACGGTGTTCGGTTTGGTTTTGTTACGGCTGCCAGGTATATACATAAAAAGCCACAATTTTTGCCGAGACGTAAGACAGTGACATATTACGATAGTGAGTAGATGTTATTTATTAAGCTATTGCATAGCTTCTATCGCGGGCCTTGAGCGCGGGGACCGAATCCAGAAATCCCGTAACGAAAAAAAACCTCACTCTCCCCACTCCGACGGGCGCGGAGGTGTGGCGTTGAAAGCCGTGCAACGTCTAACGTCGTTTCAGTTCGGCAGACTTCGGCACTCGGCAGACTTCGGCACGGTGTTTGTGTGCGTGCGACTAGACGTATGCGTGTACACTAGCTGCTAACTCAATGATAAAAATTCCTGAATAACCTACATGTATTGTAAGATATTAAAAATATTTTAAACAATATTAACTTCTCATTTATTCAATAAGAGAAAAAAAATTGTTTTCCTATCGGTCACCACGCTCAAAAAGTGTAACTTGATTTAATATCAAAGACTTAACTGCATAAATAAAATAAATAAATAATTATAATTGCATAAGTTGATAAAAAATGCTATGCAATAGCTTTACCGCGGCAGTCACCGAGTGCCACACGTATTTTTTTATAGAATAAACGTGACGAACACACAACTTTAGCTTACCCACTTTTTATTTTGAAATTAGAATTTAACAGCCTTGCAAATTATCTATGGAAAATCTTGTAGTAATGGGAATTTAAATCGTTTGAAAAAACATGTATTTACCTTACCATATAGAAGCAGGGTAACAAGCGAACACACTCTACATTTCGCGGTAAGTGGCCCATAGACATGCACAATCTATTCTAAAATGAAGATGTGTTGTTACCGTTGATGACTAAGATGATATGCCTCGTTTTCAGTAAAAAGAGTCAGTTGCGCAGATCATATTAGAGTGACGTAAACGATCGCTTAAGTAGATGCACTAATTGCTGAAGTGATCGTCTTCCTGCGTTCGCTAAAAGATTGTTTACTATTGAAGGAAGATTATTAAAAGTTGGGAGACATTTCACCTTATATTCATGAGCGTTGAGGACGCACCCGTAAGATTCTTAGATTGCAGTTTGCTAGATATGTGTGTGAATAACAGTGACACAAAAGTTGAACTGCGGGTTTCTCTATCACTGTTGTACCATTACGATTTCTAATCCGAAATGAATGATCCAAAAGCTGAAGGTAACCTGGGTTAACGAACACCACCATGTCAAAAGTCTCCCGTGATCATGGGTGCTGTAAATCACCCTAAATGAAGTGAATTAAATGTAAATCGAATTTAACGCAATAAAATTCCTTAAATTACTTTTATTCACTCTTATAGCATACTGTTAAAGATATTCGTATCGCATGCAGTCAATTTCACCGATTGTTTATCAACAACGCTAAATAGTTGTTTGTTTGTCTTTTTTTTGTTGCCGTGATCAAAATGCCTTTAGTTATTTGATTAACGCGTTGAGTATGGCAAAATTATGATGCGTGTGGTAATATTGTGGCTCTAAGCACGCTGCAGCTATAATATGGTTGTAACATGAACGGACCACACCTGTGGAAGATGATCGAAGACGTGTGAATGTGAAATCCACCAATGCGTATTTGAGCAGCGCGATGAACTCTTCTGTACCCAGGGCGAATGTTTCTTGAGATTTCTGATAAGTGTCTTCATCAGGGTATGGTATAATCTTATAATAAATAAAGGAACGTTTCACGCACAAATATGTTTTTAAACTGTGATAAATGATAAACGTTATAAACGTAATTATTAAGACATAAAGAGCGGACGTTTTACAAAGCGAACGGGCTAAATATCTGATCATTTTTCTTAATACTGTCATCTAACTTAATTTACTTTTTTTAATTAAAGTTTGTGTGGTATTTTATAGGATATAGATGACATACGAGCTCAAAGTCTACCTGATGTTACCATAGATGAGGTTGCTGTGATCCAAAGACATCCACCATCATCTTTTTTTTTTTTACTTTATATCCACCGTCGTTTATAAAACAAAATGCAGAATTTTAAGCATTTTCACACATGAGGACTAAGATGGAATGCCTCGTTTCCAGTAAAAAGTGTCTTCGGTTCTCTACACTCAACATGTGAAACACAGCAGTATTAAGCTGCTATTTCACGCTGGTATTACGTGAGAGCGTGGTCCTTCCCTTGCCAATGAGACCTATTCGTACTACAACTCTACTACGAATAAGAAAATATTAAATAATGAAAAACATTAGAAACGTACATATTTCGAAACGAATGAGCCAATTACATGAAATCTTACATTTTATGTTATCTTACTTACTTTTTTACTGTGTTTGAATAATAATAATAATAATGTCCTCCAGACCGACTTTCGGTCTCCGCAGCCAATCTCAAATGATACTAGCCATCTGTGCGGAACAGGATCACAGTGCCCGAGTGTATGCGCAAGAACAGGTGCATTCTCTATTCCTTCACACTCATACTCGTAGTCCGATGGGACGGTCTTGACAAAAAAAAAAACAATAACTGATTTTGGACCGACCGGGGATTCGAACCTGGGATCTTATAATACCAATGAGGCAGTTAGTGTTTAAATATTGATGTTACATCTGTTAAATTCCTTTTTTAAGTTAAATTGGTGTGTAAGTTAAAGAGGTATACTTTTCCAGGATACGGGCGGTTTAGTCGGAGCGTATTAGGTGCATGCGCGTGCGCATTCTTCACGACCGGGGTGCAGAACTGTGTGATGTCCTACGTGCTGCCTGCGGCGAGATGTGAACTCCAGTTGACCACCTACCAAGCTGGCCTCGTCAACATGGCCTTTATGAGCGGTAAGGAAATAAATACAAATTGATTTCTTTTTATCAATTCACTCATTTTATGTTAATACTGTATTCTTTATAGTCCAGTAGCTTGAAATCGTCTTCCAATGCAGCGGTGAACAGTTTAGGGGATATAACGTCACCCTATCTTACTCCTTTCTGCAGTTGGATAGGTTTCGTACTCTGGTTTTGTACTTAAATAGCCATCGTAGCTTTGCTGCATAAATACTTCAGTACTTCGATATACCGAAAGTCAACTTAGCAGAGATCTAACTCGACAGAATCAAAGGTTTTTTCATAGTCCACATAAGTAAGCCAAAGAAGTATTTTTTTACATAGAATAGGGTGACAAATGAGCACACAGTCCACCTGATGGTAAGTGGTTGCTGTGGCCCATAGACATCTACATGAATCCTCGATTACAAAACAAAATGCAGATGCGTTGTCACCCGGGAGGACTAAGATGGAATGCCTCATTTCCAGTAAAAAGGGTCTCCGGTTCTCTACACTCACCATACGAAACACAGCAGCATTAAGCTACTGTTTCACGCTGGTATTCTGTGAGAGCGTGGCCCTTCCCCGGTCGAGCCGACCCATTCGTTCTACAACCCTGAGGATTAAAATGTAATACCTCATTACCAGTAAATGAGTGCGTAAATTTCCTTAAATCCTTGAAGTTTAACTCGCAGCACACTAGGCTTATGTAAGAACAGGAGAAAATGTTGGCGTTTTGTGATTAAAATAACCACACCGGTCAAATGTTACAGGAAGAAGCCGGGGCAAGTGGGTAATCAATCAAAACGATAACACAATAACAGTTTATTTATCGCTTTTGTCTACACATCCGTAATAATTTCTAATTGAGAATGATGTTCTCGTTCGCTATGTGCACAGTTCATGTGCGTATAAACAAAGAAGATACGAGTATCAATTATAGGCAAAGCGTAGATAAGAAATTACATCTGTTCGCAGCATATCAATGAGAGGTGATCATGACGTTTGTCTGACCGACTGTGAGACTATGAACAAAGAAAATGTCATCTTCTTTTTTCACAAGCGAGCAAACATTCCATCTGATAGTAAATGATTGCTGTAGACCATAGAGATCAAAATCCAAAAGCTTTATTACCCTGAGGACTAAGATGAAATGCCTAGTTTCCAATAGAAAACTGTCTCCGGTTTTCTTGACTCACCATACCAAAACACAGCAGCATTAAGCTGCTATTCTACGTTTTTATTCTGTTAAAGTGTGGTTCTTCACGAAATTCTTCCCCGATAGTGAGGCTACCACGTATAAGAAAAACATCTAATATATATTCATAATAAACGATAATATCGTCTCCAAATGAATCATATTGGGCCCTAAATTGTATGAATGAAATAATTGTCTAAATTTATTCCATAGTTTTTAATAAAAAAGAAAAAATACTAAACGTACAGTTAGACACTAAATGGAGGTTTTGTAGTGAGGAAATTATTAAATGTTGGAACTAATATGATGATAAACAACTCCCAATATAATAAAAACCTTTTTGTCAAAAAATACAAGGAAATAGCGCCACAATTATATCTGATATCACTTGATATCGTCACAATACCAAATAAGTATACCTATTAAATTGCGATGCGTATTCGGTTCACTTAGCGTTGTATCGATAATTTAATTATAGAAATGTATAGACCTGTCAAAAAAATATTTCTGATTATAGATCATATTATTTGTTGGTCTATTAAGTTAGAACGTTTCTTAGAAACATATTATAAAATATTTATATGTATAATTCATCTGCACGTGTGTTTGCTACAGAACTCTTCCTAAACGCCTGGACGGATATTGATGAATTTTTTGTGTGCGTTTGAGTGAATCCCTGGTTTAATCACCAGATATTTAAACAGTAACGTTTATAATCCAAATGTACTTAGATATCGTAAAATGATAATATTAAGAACGATGACAAAATTAACATCGTAGGGTCACTTCGAAGCTGCATTATGAATGCAGCCTAAATGGATCGGCTTCAAATCAGAAACACTATCTCTGATAAAGCAAAAAACCCACATGTTTATCTGCCCATGACATCACATCCTACCCCAAATACAAATGAAATCCTCTTCCCTTCCCCCCTCACTCCAAACTGCCATACTACCACTAAACAACTAATCTGGTAGAAAGATATGATGATCCTTTTTCGCTTTCATTGCGAGCGAAAAATAGAATAGAATAGAATATTATTGTAATTGCGGGCGCCAATTCGACTGTTCATCGTCCTCACCGCACTTAATTCTCTCCTGGACACAAGTCCTGAGTGCGACCTGTTTGCGGACGAATCTACGGTAACATTGTCTGAATGTCGGAAGTTCGTGAGCGAGAAGAATGAACATCTTGTCTTTAATTAAGGTAATTGGTTTAACCGTTTTAATTAATGTCAAAATAAAATAATAATTATATTTATTGAAAGTTAATTTATTTTTATTTTCTACCGGTTTGGAGAGTACCTTGTTCCCGGAAAGAACCAGTAACAAACCTAGCTAGACTTTTTAAATAATATTTTAAAATATTTTTTTACAATTATTTGATATTTTACAATTATTAAAATTAATATATTTGTAAAAAATATTGTAAAATGTTAATAAAATATACCACCATAGGAAATACTGCAGCGTTAAGCTGCTATTTTACGCTGGTATTCTATGAGAACGTGTGACCACCCTTTTGTGCTAAAACATACAATTCAATATACGTGGAAGAACCACGTTGTTTGGAAATCATATTATACTCGTATTCCTTAATATTATAATAACCCATTTTATACATATACTTTTCGTTTGACAAACATTGAACAATTCTAGTTTAGTCCTCAGAAGCTGTTAGGAGGCTACATTAAGATTTTTATTTTTCCTCCCTATTCCTCAGGTGGTGTAGCGAGCGCATTTTTCTGGGGAATCGTTGCGGACGTATTTGGACGGCGGAACATCCTAAGCATGACGCTACTGATAGATTCTGCTATTCTCCTGGCACAGAGTACTGTGTCCGATTATCGAGTTCTACTTGCAGCGAGGACTATAAACGGATTTCTTATTGGTGAGTGACATTTCTTATCAATTTTTTTATTTAATTTAGGCTTTTAAAGCTCCAATGAACGTCACAGTCTGCACCCGTTTGCAAAAACAAGTCCTTCTCAGAAAAGAACCGGCAGGAATGTTAGTTTTCTTTTTTCAATTTTCATGTAACAATTTCATACACAACTTAATTATTTTTAAACCCCTGTAGAATTATACAAGCGATAAAATTAAAAACAATTGTACAACCGACTTCAATTAAAATAAAATGAGAACATCATCAATGTATGTAGTCGAAGTCAATTAAATACTCATTATTAAGGATAACTCAAAAACTACCAGTCAGATCTTGTTCATATTTATGTGAAATGAGAAGCATCAGTTTTCAAATTAAAAAAAAAATCGTCGATATTGGTTCTTAGAAAAAAGTTCTGGGGTAACTCACATAAAAAATACTGTCGAATTGAGTACCTCCTCCTTTTTTTGAAGTCGGACTAAATTAAGTTTAATTAAAATTTAAATAGAAAGACATGATTCTCGACAGGGTTGTCACAAAATCCATGTAATGTTTTATTTTCTAAATAATTTTAAACACTTAAATAAAAAGTAAGTATATGAAATAAAGATGTCTACAGATTTTTTCTTGCTACCTCCAAAGTGTATAAGCTCAACAAGAATGAGCGTGAACTTTCCTAATACTTTCGCATTTTTTTTGGTTCAAAATAACTTTATTCTGGCTTATATATTTGTACCTACAGGTGGGCCATCGACGCTTGTATTCACGTACTTATCCGACCTGGTGGGCGTAAAGAGACGGCAGCTATATCTGAACATCACTGGGATGTGCTTCGTGGCTGCTTGGCTTATTTTACCAGGTGAACAGCTTGGACTATTCAATTAGGCCTGGTTCTAGATTGCGGCATGAGAAGTGTCGCTAGTATAATTAATCAAGGGATGTACCGTCACACGCGTAATTCCCGAGAGGACCGGCAGAGTTCAAAGAGCATTGAACTACTCGGACCACTTTAGGCAAATATTGGTATGAAAATCAAAACATGATCCCTATCTAATTAGTCGCCTTTTACGACTTGTTAGGCAAGTAACATAGCACATTATTTATTGTTATGAGCCCCACATACATGAGACCTATATGAAAATGTAACTAGCGAAGTAGCACTAATTTATAATGGTGGCGAAAGCAAAGTGACTTTCAACAAGTAGTTTTGTAATCTATGTTGAATATCAGAGTTTAAAAACACGCTTAATCAAGAGTAGTGACGACCCTAATAAGAATACAAGGTCATGGTCATGAAGTTGTATTATCATCGATCATTATATGTCTGTTCACACAAGCGGAAATGAGTGAAAGTCAATTATATTTATACACACTTAGGTGCATACATACATAAATACAGACAGTACACACACACAGACAATACATAAGTACATACGTACAGGTAGTGCTGATGAAAGCATGTTAAAACATTTCTATTATCTTCTATCGAAAGTTAATACGTAATAGGGTTGTCAATTCTGTGTATAGCTTAATATATTGTTTTTAATATATTTATTTTTAGTTAACACAATCTTTAATAAAGTATTATATCATATAACCCCGGACCATATCATCAGGTGTCTTGTTTAGGATCGTCACACTAATGAGACAGTCCACAGAACATTATTACTCACTTCAGGCTTCTTCTAAGAACTAAATTCTTGGTAGAACTGAACTTGGTAGAAACTCGGAGTCGAGAAGGTGGCAGTATATCACTGCCGTACTTCGGATAGCAAAGCCGTTGGTCCTGCGCCTGATTTCTCGCCAGTCGAGTCGGATTGCGGTCCCATTCGACTCCAAGCGTGAGGTAATAGAATGCAATTGTACTTGTATGCGCAATTCGTGCACTATTCCTGTCCTGCGTAGACGATAGAACTTTACTACTACCGCATCGTATAATTTTTAAATTTGCTTTTTTCAGAAGTGCAAAGGTCTGTACATGATAGAGCCATGCTGCAGCTATATAAGTAGTGTAGTTGTAGCACGGTGGGCCGGCTTGACCTGGGTAGTACCACGCTCTCACAGAATACCAGAGTAAAAAAGCAGCTTAATGCTGTTGTGTTTGATATGATGAGTGTAGAGAACCCGAAACCCTTTTTACCGGAAATAAGGCATTCCATCTTATTCCTCACGGGTGAGGACATTATCATGACACATCTGCATATTGATTCGTGGACGAGGATAGATGTAGATGTCTATGGGCTAAAGTTACTATTTAACATCAGGTAGACTGTGCACTCGTTTCTCACCCTTATCCTTTAAAACACTGCCTTAAAATTTATTCTGTCTTCTGCTTACATTAAATTTGATTTATGCACATCGGATTTTAATTTGATAACAAGAAACGATGACGTCATTTACTAATTTAAAACAAATAAAAAACATTTTGATACCTTATTAATTGTTTGTAATAATTATTAATACAGCTTGAGTCAGCTTAAATCCACTGCTGTGCTACAAGCGATTAACAGAAACTAATGTTCATTTACAAAGTATCATTAATACTTTTTTTTAATATTTTATCTGTCGAGACTTACTTTCAAATAAGATATACTTAATAAGTTTACAAGCATTTTTTGCAACGCGCCTTTTTTTTCTCTTTCACTAATCACATCTTTATTTAATCAGATAATACACTACACAGTTGATTGACAGCTAAATAAAAAACGCCGGTGAAACCTGGGTCAAATAATACAAATACAATTAATATCAATGGAATCAAGATGGCCGCTTTCTTTGCTTACAAAGTGAGACGCTACTTTTATAACTCTTGACTTACATTTTATTGGTTCTTGTTAGTCAAGTGCTCTTGTATTGAGGACGAGAAATCCAAAAGCTCACGTATCAAAGGCTTGCTTAAGGTCTATTCACAGCAACGTTCCTCTTTTCCTAAAGAATTATTGAAAAACAAATTTGTTTAATATTTTTTTGTCTACTTATATTATAATCAAATCCAAAACGCTTCTCAAATATATAACAATTTTATTTTAATAAGTTTTTCATACAAAATATTTCGAAGACAGACACTTCCTTGCCCTAAAAATGGGAAGAGGTCTGTGCCCAGCAGTGGGACGTATATAGGCTGCAACTTTATTTCTTAATAAAACCACACAAATATCGAAAAAAATTGGTCATGTTTTAAGAGAAAATATTACAAGGAATTAATTAAGAAAATGTTTTTTTTATTTAATTAATTCCTTGAATTATTAAAATAATTATGTATTAGTGTTCTTGATTTTTTTTTAATTAAGGATAAAAATAGAGCGTCTGTTTTATATTTTTAATGATTATTTAAAAAAATATAACTATAAATATAGTCTCTCCAAATAAATGTTGAGGCTGATGGTGGTGCTTCAATAATGATGGTGTTTCAATCTGAAGGGGAGAAGGAGAGCACCAGTCTAATTCACAGGCTGTGAGGCGATTTGTGGTAGTCCTCAGACGTGACGACGTATTAAAGTTGGCTAAAGTTGGCTATGAACTGCAGTAATCACTTACCATCAGGTGAACTATCAGTTAAATAGTCAAAATACAAAGAAATGTATAAAAGACTTAGTAGATAGGCAGGTTCGGTCGTCTTACACTACGAGTACGAGGCTGTCACTCGAGAACCTTTTATCCCCATCGGTTGTCGGTTCTTCGAGCTATATGGTCGGCCCATTGCCACTTCAGCTTACTGATCCGCTAAGCTAAATAGCTTGCGTTGCGGATTTGTGGCCGCATCCTGCCGTATGGTCTGTATCATGTAATGGCGATGGAAGAATATCCACTATTCCATATCATCCCGTGGGTGTCGTAAGACGCGGCAGTGGAAACCAAATTAGGAGATGGACAACAGCGTCTTCCTAAGAACCCGCTAGCCAAGCGTGGCAATTATGGCAAATATCCAATATGAGTGAATCTATGGAGGAGACATATGTTCAGCAGTGGACTTTAATAGACTGAAACGGCAGCAACCTTGTGGTCATCGCTAAGGCACCGCACCTCATACGTTAAGCGTTGTATGACTTTGCTTAAAAACATCAAATAATATGTTTCTAATATTTACACAGGTGATTGTAGGACATTAGTATTAGATTAACGGTACCCAGCTTTCTGTAAAAGGAGGTTAAGTAAAAGTAATTTAGTCATTGTAATAATATATTTGGAGGAAGGTCAAGGATTTCCGGATAATATGTGGCCTACTGAAATTAGATAAAGAAAGTTGTTGTTTTTTTTTTTGTAATGCTGCAAGAGGCATGTCATCATACCATCATTCATAGTGTGTCCATTTCATTTGTTTTTGTTTTTAGCGGTTAACTTACATATTTTCGTAGAGTAAAAATGAAAAGTGAGCGCATAGTCTAATAAGTACATGCTGTGGCCTATATAAGCACACAGTCCACATGATGGAAAGTGGTAGCTGTGGCCCATAAACATCTACATCTATCCTCGATTACGAATCAAAATGCTGATGCGCTGTCACCAGTGAATACCAAGATGGAATGTCCAGTAAAATGGATCTCCGGTTCTCTACACTCACCATACGAAACACAGCAGTTTTTAACTGCTATTTTACGACGGTATTCTGTGAGAGCGTGGTCCTACCCTGGTTGAGCTGACCCATTGAAATTATTAATTACATATTATTTGCGAATTTGCCATGTGCTCGGCGGTGAAGGAAAACATCGTGAGGAAACTTGCATATCTGAGAAATAAAAAAAAATTCGAAGACTTGGGAAGTTCGCCTAAACGTATAGGGGCAAGATATACAGACAGATACTTATTTATTTGTATTCATCATCATCATTACAGTCCTTCACAAGTCCACTGCTAAACATAGAGTTTCCCCAAGGAATGCCACAAAGCACTGTCCTGAGCCACCTGCATCCATAGACTTCCTGCATCTTTTACAAGGTCATCACTCCATCTAGTGGCGTGACGCCCTACACTTCGCCTGCCGGTACGAGGCTGCCACTCGAGAACCTTTTTTCCCCATCGGTTATGTGTATTAGTAGTTAATAATAACTTGAAAGTAAACTCAGCAAGCACGGGATAGCAAGTTATTAATAATGCTCCCTAATCTTTTACTGATATGTTTTCACAAAATATGCCTTGATGAATACAGACATTGTTGAACGTGTTTTTCTTCAAAACATTATTATTACCTAAATGTCAAAAAGTTTCAACCTATATACGCCCCACTGCTGGGCACGGGAATCCGCTAATTTCTGAGAGGATTTTAGGGCAAGGAATAGTCCGCTGCGCTGGTACAATGCGTGTTGGCGAACTTCACATATCTTAATCATTATTTTTTTCTTATTTCTCAGACATGCAGGTTCACTATGTTTTCCTTCACCGCCGAGCACGTGGTAAATCAGCACTTAAAATTGCAATTAACAATTTCATTGGTGCCGGCGGTGTTATTTCCTGCATAATAAATGCATTGTTGTATGCTACATAATTGAAAAAGATAAGTATATTAATTCTTGTGTAGTGTTCGCGTTCGAATTTATCATTGGTCTAGTGGTGGCAAATGCGACTGCTGACAGTAAGATCCCAAGTTCTAATCCTGGGTCGCGCCAAAATTGGGTTTTTCTATTAAGAAATTATGAGCCCGAAGTCAGAAAGCTAGCGGTGTTTCACCCCTACGCCTTGAAAAGTTCGTGCCCATATGTGCCTGATACTTCTTCTATCACTGGATTGCCGTCCGATCTGACTATGAGAGTGAGGGAATGGAGAGTGCATCTGTGCTTGCGCGCAAACTCGTACACGTTAATTCTCCCGTACCCTGCGCAGATATCCAGTCTCCGTTGAGACTGACCGTCGTAACCGAAATTAGGTATGTAGGACATTAATATGATAGTCGTCACAGTAGGTCTAAATTGGGCAAGGAGATCATCATCATTATCATCATCATCATCAAAGTTTTCATTAAACATTTATTTTTATTACAGCAATAGCTTGGCTGGTGATACCATTTAAAATAACAAACCACACTAGCCTGCTGCCCATTCACACGTGGAGGCTGTACCTGGCGCTTGGAAGCATCCCGGGATTCCTGTCCGGCGTTTGGGTTCTTTTCCTCCCAGAAAGTCCCCGATTACTGTGCGAAACAAATAGATGTGAGAAAGCACTGAAGTTGTTGACGAACATCCATAGGAGCAATGTGGGGTTGGCCGGAGAATATAAGGTTGGTAAAATTATTATTGTGATGAAGGTTACGGTTACGTTATTTTAACTTAAGACAGCCTTAGACTTAGATGGAGAACGTTACAGGATACTGAGAGCCGTTGTAGCTTAGAAGTTTAAGCACTCGCTGTAATTTTTGCAGTACGCACGGTACCCCGGTTCAATCTCGCCGGCGCCAATGAAATTGTCAATTTGCCAACGAAATTCGAGTGTAGGAGTATACATTACCACTACCCGATATCATCCCGTGGGTTTCGTAAGATCATACGAAGGGAACTGAAAGGGGAGATGTAGTATTCTGAGAACAACTTAAATTTATAAAATTTTACGTTTGCCAAACCGCCAGCCAAGCGTGGCAACTATGGCAATATACCCTACGAACTGATTTATGGGGAAGTTTAGGATTGGACATGTATAGGATGTATTTGTAATGGTAAATCTACTGTGAATTCTGTCAACCCTCATTGCGGCAGCGACGGACATTTGCTTGCCCTAAAACCTTGTCAGAAATGGGCATGTGTTTAACAAACATGCCGAATACCCCGCTCAGAACAAAGCGGGCACTGTAATATTTGAGCAACATTGCTTAAATGCGACGCATTGCGCCTGGACACACTCTACACATTGGACACACTCGAATTTAGATGTTTTTAGAAATTGAATAGAAAGAATAAGAAGAAAGTGAATAGAAATTGCAATTGACACCCTATAATGATAGGTACTTATAGATTTATTTACATATTAGACAGTTGCTTGGCTAAAGTTCCACCTGGTGGTACTTGGTGATTAAGTCCTAGACAGTAAATCGCACTGTCTTTTGGTGTTGAAGACGCCCAGATTGTATTCGGACAGAAAGACAGACGCCGATAAATTATTTCACTCCTCTGCTGTACACATTACTAAAGACGGTAAAAACGGTGCAAACCGTTTGGTTCCAATGCGTGGAACATCGACAACAAAGCTATGAAGATTCGTCGACTACCTGGCTATCCGATAATGGAAAGGGGAGGCCAGGAAATGTAATTCCTGCGCACACCCTCAGAAATACATCTTATCGAATACCGAGAGGCTGGCTACTATGCACCTGTGCTCAACACTGACGAGATAGCTACACGTAAATTGTTGTTACAGTATTTCTTTTTATAGAATAACATTAACAACTAAGCACAATATCCACATTGTAAGCACGTGGTAAGTAGATATAGAACCCCATATACACCTACATTTATCCTGAATTAAGGATCAAAATGCAGATGCGGTGCCGCCCCTGAGGACTGAGGTGGAATGCCTCGTTTTCAGTTAAATGGGTCTTCGGTTCTCTAAACCGAAATACAGCAGCATTAAGCTGCTATTTTACGCTGCTATTCTGTAAGAGCGTGGTCCTATCCTACTCGAGCCGACCCAGTTACGCTACAATCGGATTTTCCCCATCCGAAAATCGCCCAATGAACCTAAAGTTTTCACCTAAATATCTATTTCAGATAAAGAAGCTGATTCCGGATAATATTTTTATTGCGAAGACTGTGAACGGAGAAGAGAACAGAACGAAAGCACTGTTTTACGGCGTGCTCAAAGATCTGAAGATGTTCGTGTCAAAGGGCTACGCCTGGAAATCTACCCTGATTCTATTCGTTTTCTTTGCTAACATGGCCGCGTGAGTATTCATCCTTATTATCATCATAATTACAGCCCATCAAAAGTCCACAGATAAAAATAGATCTTCCCCATAGATTGCCTCGCAATTCACTTAAAATAAAGTAGACCGCATGCTTGATTGTCACCTGTTTTTATATAAACACACATTTGCTGCTGTGTTTATTATGAGTAGTGCAGAGTAAGTAGTAATGAAGCTTTCTATCTCAGTTGTCACCACTGACCATGCATCTACATTATAAATCTTATTCGGAGTTGGATGTTGGTGTCCATGAACAATGGTATCCACGTGCAATCAGGTGTAATGTTTACTCATTTGTCAAATAAAAAAATTGCTTTCTATTTTCAGTGGTTTTGGTCTTAACCTTTGGATACCGGAACTCCTTCTTCGGATGCAAGGGAAGGAATGCGCTTACTCTCATTCGACTATTGTCCCAGAGAATGCTCGGCTGTTCAACGCAAGTAACATCGCATGGAAAGACCTACCAAAGGTTTACGATTCATGGAGACCAAACCAAGATATATACAATGGTACTTTGGTCGACTCTCTCGATGGTAGGAGGGGGAGGGCAAGATGTGAGGAGAATATTGACAGCGCTGTAAGTAATTTTCAGTTCGTTCATTTAGTCAACCTATCAAAAGTTCTGTTGAACATAGGCCAGCAGTTCTACGGTACGGTGGGAGTAGAGAACCAGAGACCCTTTTTACTGGACATCAGGCTTCCGTCTTAGTTCTCAGGAGCAACAACGCATTTTTGATTCTTAATCGGGGACAGACGTAGATGTTTATGGGCCATGCCTTCCACTTACCACCAGGTGAACTGTGTGCTCGTTTGTCACCCTGATTCTATAAAAAAAAATACATACAGACACGATGTAACCATTAATTACACGTTAGTATTAATGTAAGCGATTGAAATCTAACGGTATTTTACCGCAAATGAAAGTTCAACTAATACAGTACCGAGCGAGTCGAGCTTTCAAATATTCAAGTCCCATTAATGTAGTGGTTGCGATTGCTGATCATGTGGTCCTGGGTTCGAATTTAAATATATTGTTGAATTTTTCTGTCAAAAAATTCGCAGCCTGGAGACACAAAACTATTTCACCCTCGTGCCTCGGAAAGCACGTAAAGCATTTTTTTTTTGTTATATGTAAACAGCAACGCAGATCTAGGGAAAGAGACCAGTAAGTATGACTACGACCTAAAATATCTATTGTGATCACTGCTATGGCTATAGTTCACTGCTAAGCCCTATGTTTTCAATGAATATAAGGAGTTGCTTAGATCTGAGCAATTTCACTTCTTCTGGGTGGAGTACATAGTTTCCCAGATGAGTGTTACGTTTGCGCAGGGTGCGCAATCAGTTAGGATGTGCAGAGGCGTTTCTTCCGTTATGGAACAGAACCGACACACCCTTGAGTTGCTTAGTCCCAGGATGGACATGTGCTTTTTAAGACAACAGTGTCCGGCTAGGCTCTTGCCAGAATGCGCAATTTATTTTTATTTTTAAGCCTCTGGTCCTGCGACTGATGTCTCTGATTGTGTCGGATTATTTTCCCATCGGGTTAATTAAGCGTGCACGTATGCTTGGGCACAGAATAGAATAGAGTACAATATTTTTTAATTCAATATAGATTACAATTATTTATATAAGATAAAATTCATTTTTTTTTTAACTTTACCATTGCTTCCAAAAAAACGTAAATGACTGTGGAGTCGAGAAACTGGTATCACTAGCTTGTGTTTATAACTATATTTTTGTTTAAATTAAAACTACTTGTGTTCTCTACCCACGAACTTGTGCATTATAATCACGTTCTGTGCATAGCTAGGCTCCAATGAGATTTTTCATGCCCGAAATTCGTTCTAAACGTTTGCCGTGAATTCGGTTTAGAACATAATTATTTGCAGGTGTATACGTCCGGGCTGATAGTGGGCGCGTGTTGCGTGCTTGGCAATGCGGCATGCGCGGTGCTGAGCGGGCGGGGCGGCGCACGGGGCGTGCAGCGTGCGGCAGCGGCGTGCGCGTGCGCGTGCGCGCTAGCGTGCGCGTGCCTCGCCGCGAGCGCATGCTCATGCGCATCGTCCCGCAAGCTGGCGGTGGCAGCGGCGGCCGTGCTGAACGCGGCTTCGCTTAATGGCAATGTGCTGCTGATCAGGCTGTTGCTACATGCGTTGCCTGCTAAGTTGAGGTGAGTGGTAATGGTGATTATGATGTGAATTCATCAGGTAGTACGTAAGGCTTAATGAAAGTTTTGCATAATTCATAAATAATACAATTTACGTATTATTATGTTTATGTAAACTATTAAATTTATTGCCTTTCATAGTAGGTATTCCCAATTACATTTGAAGTACACAAGTTCCGCCTTCATGGAAACCTAAAATGACTGTCTTGTTCGCGGTGTACGTTAGAGCAATTCAATAGGATGCGTCTTCTTTGTCGTTTTTCCCTACCGTTTTCAAAGACTCAAGTAACAACCAAGTAAAAAAAACAACTGTCTTTTGTTCATTAAGACGGATCGTCTGGACCTGTCTGGGATAAAATAAACGCAATTACGTTTTTGCTCACGCTTCTTGCTTGCCTCAATTTTGCATGCCTTAAGCGCAAAGCGCGTAGGTATATATAGGTAGGTTCTACTAGTACCTAAAAATCAATAATCCGACATTTTATCGCAAGAAATCGTACCTATCTAACAATCATATGGAACATATAAATTAAATAAAAAGCACATTGTCAGAAAGACAAAATGATTGTTGAACTTATTTTTTTTAATCGATTAATTGCTATTTTTACATAAAAAAGTGGTTTTAGTGGCTTACTGTGTAGATTTATCACGTCCGCATGGAGGGGTAAACACGATAACTTTTGAAGATATCAATTGTTCAACTCAATCTATTTTTAATATCTAAAAAATTTACATGTCAGGTAAAAAAGACTATTTTTTACGATAATGCCTGAGTACAAATATCTAAAAATAAAAATAATATTATCAAAGATGATATCTGATCGTTTTAAGAAAATTCTGTTAAAAAAAATTTCTATTTACAATAAAAAAAAATTGAATCTCAATAATAATAACACAGTAAAATTAGAAAAAATAATTTTTATTGTTTATTGAGTATTTTTTCTACATTTTTTCATGATCGTATAAGCATTATCAGTCGTGCACTATTGGATTTCCCAAACTTTTTTAAATTGACGTTTGACATAAATATCGGAAAATTAAAAGTATAGTGATAAGGTTATTAGTGAAAACTTGTGTGTAATCAAAATACTTTCAAAAATTGACATTTGGACAAACATTTGGACTTACCAAAAGTTATTTCGGTACTGTCGCAATCTATGCACTAAGTATATGAAGAAAGCCACGGTAAGCGTCAGATAAAAAATAAACTATGACGGAGCGCAGAAAAACTTACAAATACGCTTCGAAAAAATTGAAACACGGGTTTATGACAGAAAACAGCAGTTTTTGCGATTTTGAATTCCTTTTTAGTAAAAAATTGAATATAATAAATATTTTTTCATTCATTAACTCAATACAACTCATCAATATCCATCCAAGGAGTATATTTAATCACTATATTAATATACTTTCAGCGCATACGCAATTTATGTTAGCAACGTTTTTCAAAAACGTAATTAAGCATAATTTTTACACTAGGCATCATTTTTAATTGAAAAAATTAATCTCAGTTGGTATTGATATAAATATTTAATAAAAATGAGAAGAGACGTTGCACGCATAACTTATCGCATAATTAGATATAATAGAAAGAAGGTTATTTGTGAAAACTTAAGTGTATTTAAAATAAATTATTATATATATTATATATAGTACCCGGTTGACCGAGTTTTGCTCGGTATTTTTCGCTCGGTTTTTTTTTTTATTCGTGTGTTTTGGAAATTATATTTAGATACAAATTACATACTGATGAAATACGAATAATATTTTTTGATCTTAGCGACATAATAGAAAAAACTGAACTGGTTATTTGAATAAAAAATCGTGAGTGCAATTTTAGTTTAATTTAAATTTTCGTGTTTTTAAAAATTCTAAAAAAAAGGGCTGGAAAAAATAGATTTTCTTAAAAAAAGAAAGGAACTTGAAAAAAAAATTAAAAAAAATTCGGTCGGTCGGTCTGGGCTCGAGCCACGGTGTTACGATTTTTTGACCGCCCGATATAAAATGGTTAAAATTTACCGTCTTATTCTACCCATATTGTAACAGTTTTTCATTGCCTAAAAACACGGACAAAAAGACATTTTCTAAAAATAAATCCTAGCAAGATCGATTTATTGCCCCCGAGTGACAACTGTCGTATATTTTAACTAAATATTGTAATTAAAATATATTTATATTTTATTCCTGAAATTCCGAAATATAACGATTTATGTAAATAATATATTTCAATATTAATGAATATGTAATAATATATTTACAAGTTCGTTTGCCTGAAGTGATGACACGAAATGACGATGGCCGAATACACCAAGAATACATTTTATTTTGCAACATTAATGCCAGGGAGAACTTTAAAGAAATATTAAATGAGAAAATAGAACAACGTCATAATAACAAAATCAATGCTCACTACAGTTCTACTGATCCCAAGAAAACAACGAATGCCGCGTTTTTATTGAGATGCTTGAGCGTTTTATTGAGATTGTCACCAAAAGAAGCTTTGAAACCATCAACTGTAAGCGGTTATAGTTGTAGGCCACTTCAAGATGCAACGCCTGGCGATTCATCGTAGACAATATTAATATTAAATTGCTTTAAGTCGATAAACAAAGCTCGAGAACTAGGTTTTTCTTTTAATTTTCAAGATTTTGATTCGTACTAAATTATAGACTTTTGAGTGCTGTAGATATATTTTTAAATTTTTGATTTTTTACATTTTCTATGAATATTATCGCTCCAATACATTCACAGCCGGATTTCCTACGGTGTCAAAATTGTACCGACGGTAGGCTGCTTAAAGGTAAAAAGGGATTAAACATACACATTAAACGATGCCATAGTAAAAATATTTCGGCTTCACAGCCTACCGTAGAAATTCATGACTCTTCTGATAATAACTCGTACCTAATGATACAAATTCTTCACTTTTTTCGAAACAATTATACAATTTGTATAGTAACGTACCAGTGTTAAAAATAATTCCCAGAGGCGCGAGGATGCAACGTGCTAATAAAGCATTATCATTAACTATTCAAAATTGTCTAACGAATTGTGAAAAAAGTAGCCAAAAATTATTTACATTCGCGTATTCCCACTTTCATTTTAGTAAAACAATAAGTAAATCAATTACGTCTCAACTAAAAGAAAATTCTTTTCAAAATTTTGAATTACCCGATTAATACTCATTTCTCTCGACCTTATCCTAAATTTGATTTAAAAAAAGTAGTTGAATCAAAAGTAATGGACGGCGACTTAAAAAATGCATCCCGTATCTTATTCTCAGATGACATCCTCGCTCCTCGTAAATTCGAAACTCTTGAAGGCCTTCGTCAGAAACATCCTTCGGTCAATCCTTCCCAGAATTTACCGCTGCCTCCCAATACTTCTATGCAACCATTACAAGTTTCCGAAAAAGACACTTTAGACGCAATATTGTCATTTTCGAATGGCTCTGCCGGCGGCATTGACGGGATTACGCCTCAGCATCTCAAAGACCTTGTAAGCGTATCTGCCGGTGACGCCGGTAGGGTACTTCTCAATGACATAACAAAATTATGTAATTTTATGCTTTCTGGTAATGTCAATCCCAATTTCATTCCCTACTTATATGGGGCAAGATTGTGTGCCTTCAAAAAAAAAGGATAACGGTATTCGTCCTATTGCTGTTGATTCTACATTTCGACGCTTAACTTCAAAATTAGCTTGCAGGCACATAATCTCAAACCTTAAGACAAAATTTCAACCTACTCAACTAGGCTTTGGCAACAAAGGTGGTTGTGAAGCGGCGGTACATTCGGTGCGTACTTTCTTAACTAATTCCAATGCAGATGTTCTTCTGAAGGTTGATCTTAGAAATGCTTTTAACTCTATTGATAGGATAACCCTGCTGAAAGAAGTGGCTAACAATACCCCCGAAATATATCATTACGTTTGGCAATGTTACAGTCAAAATTCAAACTTATTTTATCAAAACCATATTATTGAGTCTACTGTCGGTGTTCAACAGGGTGATCTATTAGGTTCAGCTCTTTTCAGTTTGGGAATTCAACCTATTATTTCAAATTTAAAATCCAAGCTGAATGTCTGGTATCTGGACGACGGTACACTTGGAGGTAAAGCAGATGACGTCCTCAATGATCTAACTCATATTTTTCAAAATTTTAAAAATATTGGTCTTGAACCAAATACAAATAAATGTGAAATATTTATTTCTAATAATTTATCTAATTCTAATAGAGATACCTTAATTCAAAATTTCAATCAGATTTCTCCAGGAATAAAAACTGTCAATTCGGAATCGCTTTACCTGCTTGGTGCTCCGTTGTTTTTCGATAGTATTAAACCTGTTTAAAAAACAAAATTTGATCAATTTTTAAATCACGTTGATAAATTATATATTTTAAACCCACATATTGCCCTTATCATTTTAAAATATTGTCTCCTTGTACCTAAATTTAAATACTTGTTACGCTCAAGTCCAGTCTGGAAATGTTCGGATATTTTAAAAGATATTGATATAATATTGAAATTGCTTTAATCAAGCCACTTTACCTATCAAATTTGGTGGAATTGGTGTAAGAAATATTTCTAGCGTCGCATTGCCTGCTTTCCTTGCTTCCGTGCATAGTGTCAATGACCTATGTAACACAATTTTAAATAATAAAGTAGACCTGTGCTTTGCTGCGGAGGCAAAGCAAATATGGCTAACGCTCTGTCCCGGCGAAAATGTCCCACTGGAAGTACAACTAAAAACAGTAGGATATTCCGTTGGTACGGAGTGTCCAGAAAAATTTATTTCAAAATTTCCATATTCAACAAGATCAGGCTCGCCTTCGACTAAGGAATCTAGCCACTGGTTACATGCTCTACCATCAAGTGATCTCGGCACATTGCTTGACGGGGAAAGCTTGCGCATCGCCGTAGGAATCCGGCTAGGAGTAGCAATTTGTCAACCTCACCAGTGCCCTCGTGATAGCAGCGTCGATGAGTTTGGGCTCCACGGACTTTCATGCAAGAAAAATGCAGGTAGGTTTTCCCGTCACGGTTCTTTGAACGAAATCATCCGAAGGGCTCTTGTCTCTATAAATATCCCCCTCGGTTTTAGAGCCTTGCGGGATATTTAGAGACGATGGCAAGAGACCCGACGGTATGACTTTGGTCCCTTGGGAGAGAGGTAAAGCCCTAGTGTGGGATGCTACTTGCGTCGACACTTTGGCGGCCTCTCATCTCAAGGTTACCTCTTTTAGAGCCGGGGCGGCATCAGAGGCAGCCCAATTTAGTAAATGGCGCAAATATGAGTCTTTGAGAAATGACTACATATTTGTGCCATTTGCTGTAGAGACTATCGGTCCGTGGGGTCCACGTGCAATTAAGTTTCTAAAGGAACTGTATCCACGACTGGTCGTCGCTGCTGATGATAAGAGGGCTGGTTCTTGGCACTATACCACGGGGAGCAGGTCTTTTTGACGATTTAAATTTTTAGTTTTAGATTTTCTATATTATATTTTCTTCTTTTATATTGTATATAATTAGTTTTAATTGTAAATATTATAATTTTAATTATTATTTTAGTTAAGTTCTTTATTATAATTTATGTAACATAAAAGAAATTGACGTATAACATGAGCGCCCCGTTAACCAAGCCATGCGCACTTTTGATCGTACAATACCATCCTTCCGTCCGCCAAGTAGTGCGCTAATTTGATCAGAATTATGTAAACGTGTGTACCTATGAAAAAACTATTTTTTCGTTTTAAACAAAACCAAAGACACTATGCAATAGATAATAGTATCAAAGACAAAGATGTGCTCTTTTATTTTAAACAATAACCTGGCAATGTTTTTAGAAAAAAAAAAAAAAAAAAAGAAATCACTCTGAACTTTCGGCGTTCCACGTGTCGTTTTGATGAAGGTGCTCCGTCTTTTTTATAGAATTTTATATTTGTGTCTGGACTAAAAACGAAAGTATTATACTTTTTTATATTCCTTGTAATATAGTAAACACGTAGATATATAATTTGTGGTATAAAAAGTGAAAAGTAAATTGCCAAAAGTACTTCAAAATCCGGAAGCTCCATTTTGGCGGTTGGGTCATAAATGTGTTATTTTCCAAATTCTCATTTATTTTTAGTGTAAAATGTAAGTAAAAATAGTTTTCTTACATATTTCAAATAACTTGACGTTGTATTTATTTCAAATTGACACAAAAATATGTCTGAAATATTGTTCGAAATGTCATACAGATAAAATATTATTATTATTTTTTTTTTAATATTTTAATATTTTGGTATGAGTACCGAATGGAAACACATAAAACATAAAAATATACATATTTCCAAACATTTTCATATAAATTTCTCTAAAAACAAAAGTGTAGAATTCAAATTAGTAGTAATTTTGTCACTAAAATTGATGTATATACCACTACTATGCTATACAGGGTTATTTACATTTTATTCGATAGTTTATACATTCATCAAGAATTCCTGTAAGTTTTATCCATAAATATTGTCTCAAAGTGAAAATATAGCAAAATTTGCAATATAGCAAAAAATTTGCTAATTTGCAAATTTTCCCGCCATTACGGTCCCGAGCGAACGGGAGTATAACATGTCGCGCGCTGTCAGAGCTTACAGGCATGCACATTTGGACTTACCAAAAGTTATTTCAGTACTGTCGCAATCTATGCACTAAGTATATGAAGAAAGCCACGGTAAGCGTCAGAAATAAACCATAAATAAACTATGACGGAGCGCGGAAAAACTTACAAATACGCCCTCGACGTAAAAAAATTGAAACACGGGTTTATGACAGAAAACAGCAGTTTTTGCGATTTCGAATTCCTTTTTATTAAAAAATTAAATATAATAAATATTTTTTCATTAATTAACTCAATACAACTCATCAATATCCATCCAAAGAGTATATTTAATCACTATGTTAATATACTTTTAGCGCCTATGCAATTTATGTTAGCAACGTTTTTCAAAAACGTAATTAAGCGTAATTTTTACACTAGGCATCATTTTTAATTGAAAAAATTAATCTCAGTTGGTATTGATATAAATATTTAATATAAATGAGAAGAGACGTTGCACGCATAACTTATCGCATAATTAGATATAATAGAAAGAAGGTTATTTGTGAAAACTTAAGTGTATTTAAAAGAAATTGACGTATAACATGAGCGCTTAAGACATGCACATTTGGATTTACCAAAAGTTTTTTTTGCACAATTTTGATCTAGCGCGTCTATTTTTTATTACTTAAAAACAAATACAGGTGAGTGCGTTATTGAAGATATACTATTTATCTTTACAGCGGCCTTGGCGTTTGTTGGGGTGCATGGTGGGGTAGAGCTGGTGGCGTGGTCTCTAACCTAGCAGTTGGAGTGCTTCTTGATTACTCCTGCCCTGCACCGTTTATAGCAGTGTCTGCATTACTAACTAGTAAGTAAATATTAGAAACAAACATAATATGCTAGACAAAATTCGACGTAGGATAGCCACGCTACAGCTATATTATGGTTGTAGAACGAATGGGTCGGGTCAACCGCGGAATGACTACGCTCTCACAGAATACAAACGTAAATTACAGCTTAATGCTGCTGTGTTTCGTATGGTGATTCTAGTGAATCGGTGACACTTTTTACTGAATACTAGGTGTTCCATTTTAGTCCTCACAAGTGATAAAGCATCAGTATTTTGAACTGTATAAGATGATAAACGTAGACATGTCTTTAGGCCTCAGTACACACTTATCATCAGGTGGACTGTGTGCTCGCCAGTAATGTGAATTTAAATGAAATATTATGTTTTAAAACATATGCATTATACTATTAATTTATAAGTCACTGCTGATCCCTATGACGAACAATCATAAAGCAGATGCGTTGTCACCCGTGAGGACTAAGATGGAATGCCTCGTTTCCAGTAAAAAAGGGTACACTCACCATACGGAACACAACAGCGTTAAGCTGCTATTTTACGCTGGTATTGTGAGGGCGTGGTCCTTCCCCGGTCAGGCTTTCGTTTATTCGTGCTACATCTGTACCAATAATATAGCTGCAGCATGGCTCTACCACATAAAAAAATTAAATAGAGAAACGATAGGAATTATATAAAAACCTACAAGCCTACAACGAAGGCTCCTTAGCGCAGTTTTGAATTGTGGTGCTGAGAGCCGTATAGCCTAAAAATTGTTCTGGATCTGTCTCTGGATCTCGTTTTTGTTATTCTGTAATTTATGTCAAATTAATTAATTTATGTCAACTGCTGTCACATTACAGAAGAAAATCATAGTGTAGGTATAACGTTTTTCAAAAAAAAGCCTTCATGATAGTAAATATATTAAATTTTAATTTCAGTTTCAATCTTTGCTATAATGATGATAAAGTTGGATGGGAACAATGAAGCTGATGTTCCTGACAATAAGACTGAACAAGAAGTAGACAAGAACACTGGATTTGATAGATTCATTTCGACTCACATGTAGAAAAGGAGTTTTAGAAGTTAATAAAATAAGAAGGCCTTGAAGATATTGCTGAAGTGGTAAATGATATGGGCCTTACAAATGCAGTGCGGTTGTGAAACTCTGGTGGGAATCGTTTGCTGATGGAATTTACTCCGAAAATGTGTTATACTCATTCAATATCTTAATATTTTGTCTGTGAAGGAAAGCATTGTGAGAAAACCTAGCATGTATCGTCCCGGGAGGGGTCAGGGGCGTCTTCGAGGCTCGACGTAAGCCGAGTTTGCCCCACGGCACGTACATCCACTGCGAAGCGACGCGCTGTACATTTCTGAGAAATAAGAAGAAAAATATTTCGAATACTTGTGAAGTTCGCCAACAAACAATAAGGCAGCGCCGCGCACATTTCTTTTCCCTAAAATCCTCTAAGAAATGAGAGGCATGTGCCCAGCAGTGGGACGTATATAGACTGTAACTTTAACTTTAATATTTTATAATTTAAAATATAAAACAAGATATCTGTTACTAATTGATACTGATACATTTACTCAATAAAGACTTACCACGTTTTCATTAACTAGCTTTTGTGTACCTACGTGTATTCGGTTCGAATTTAGTAATTGAATTTAAACTAACTTCGGATGAGCTAGAGACTTGAGAGTTTGAATAAAGCTCAGAATCAGATAAAAATGTACGAATATGAAACAAAAAGAAGAAAATTTTTATACTTTTACTTCATTTTAAAAAAAAAACAAGTTTTTACACTTATATTTTATATTACGTTTATACTTAAAAAATACCGATTGACTTGATTACGAAAGATTTTCTTTATCGTATCAAAACAGTCTGCGAAAATTGGTATTTGCTGTCAAATTCTATAATACAATGCCATCAATTTTAGTGTGCATATTTTTCACGGAACTTTCTCAGTGAAACTTACTCTATAATTATGCATTCATCTTTACTTGACGTTGGATGTTTTTTTATTATTGTTTACATTTTATATTATTTTTTTATATATTTTGTAAATCGCCTTTTTGCTTCATGTTCGACTGATAGTTACGTCTGTATGTGAGTGTAATTTTGCGTGTGTATTATTTTGCACTTTGAATGTTACGAAAGTTTCAGTACTTGTAGTGTAAAAATGTGCAAACAATATTTTGAATTTTACAAGGCTGCCGACCGTTTCTTGTGTCGAGTATTGAGTAAAGTTAAGTAAAACGGGCAATATGAAGATTATTGCCCATTTTTACTCACTCAACCAAAGGTCAAACATTAAAACGGCTCCGTGGCCAATGGCTTAGCAACGAGTTGCTGCGCTGGAGGCCGCAGGTTTGAATCCCGCACAGAACAAGTATTTGTATGGCCTACAAATAATTGTTTTGGGTCTGAATGTTTATCCTTGTGCAATTTATGTTCGTAAACTGCACGATACAGAAGAAAATCCTAGAGTGGGAGTAACGTTTTTTTAAAGAAAAAAATGAATGGTCATCCACGATTTCTACCAGCAACCGCTGTAAATATTTTATTGGATTGTATATTTTAAAACAAGTTAATGTTATTAAGCTGTAACCTAAGATGTGGAGTGTAATATGAAAGATATTTTATAATTGGATAGTTGACGTCATCGTAAATAAATTATAATTTATATAATATTTTTCCTTTAGTAGTATCTCAAATCTTAGTAGTTTTTTTTTTAAATTAGCCATAATCCATAAACACTCACGCCTGTCACCCAGAGGCATATGCAGAGACTACGGATTTCCATTTGGAACGATCTTGACACACCTCTCTGGTCGTCGTTTAAGGGTATTCCTAATCTGGCCAATTTTCAATATATCGCCAACTTGGTCGATAAGCATTCGTCTAGGGTGTCCCTTCCCGACTCTATCGTTCACATCTCATAAATTAGATTTTTATTATTTACAAATTCTATTACGATATTTACTATAGGTAATTTTTTTATAAAACAAGTATTGTTTTGAAAGCTCATCAAAAGAAAGAAAAACAGATGAAAAGAAAAATTGATATATGATTTTTCTTACGATATTTATTAAATAATTCTTTAGTTTTGTAATCCTACTAGTTTGATAGAGAAAATATAGGTTTTTCTGTATCAAAATTTTAAACATGATAGTTTTTTGAGCAAAACCTATCACTAAATCTACTTAAGAACATTAAGCCGATGAGGAAACGGCAACCGATTGTGACCATAGGTTCTAGAGTGAGAGTTTTATTCCGGAGTATATACGTAATTACATATGACTGCCGCATTGGTCTAGTAGTCGTAAACGCCACTCCTGATCGTGAGGTCCCGAAGTCGAAACCCGGTCCCGTCCAAAGAAACAATCAGTTATTCAGTATTCCGTCAAGAAATTCTCAGAAGCTACCCTGAGTCAGAAAGTTGACAGTGTCTTACTCCCGTGCTTATTAAAGCCGTTGGTTCTGCGCCTGATCTCTCTGTTTTCCTGCGCAGATGCCTTTCTCCTTTGGGGCTGAAATTTGGCCTGGAGGATATTATTACGTAAGGCGTTTTCAACAAGATCATATTATGCTAGATAAATGATCTCTTTGAAAACAGCCTGTGAACAATTATTTTTCGCTTTTAAATAATATTTAATATACTATTCAATAAATTTAAGCGTATGAATAAAATCAATAGGTACTTTTTAAAGCATCTACTTGAGGGAAATACACAGACAGATATTTTGTATGAAATAAGAATTATTAGCACCCGTATACTGGTGATTTTTTTACAGTCTGGAAAAAATAGGATGTAACAGGTAAACGGAATTGAAGCCTATGGCACTGATATTTTACATTTTTTTTTTGCTTTAACATTAAAATATTATCAAACTAATAACTATCAATAAATACCACTGCTTTGAAATAAACTTTCGGTAATAAAAAAATACATACAAAAATTTTGAACTAAATAAACTAATCAATTAAAAATTATCGAAATTATAAATAATACGCACCCAATTAGTTAATATGAAAATGCAAATGCAAATATCAGTATCCATATGCTTTTATTCTGTTCACCTGTTACACACCATTTTCATCCAGACGGAAAAAAAATCACCAGTATTTTATTATATCCATATGTATTACATTCTCACGTATGTGTACTAATTTTAGGATTATTTAAATGTGATGTGTACTTCTACTCATTAGTTTGTGGCCGTGTGTTTTGTGTTGCCTTAGAAAGAATGTAGTTTTTACGAAAATATATATAGATAGAAAATTGTGACAGTTAATTTTAAATACAATGTCAAATTACCTTAACATTAGCTAAATAAAGTTATCTGTGACTATTTTACCATTAATTTATACTTATAGAAATAGAATTAGGTATTCTTTCACGGAATTTGTCATCGATAAATTTGACAAAATTAAGTTCAAGTGCCTCTATTCCTATCCTATTGCATAAGTGCCTTTATTAAAATAATAAATGCGATTTATATCAATGTAATATAATGCAATATAATAATACATGTACGAAGTGACTTTTGGACCGTCATGAAAAAAATAGTCTGTTACAGTAGGACGAAGTAGAAGCCTGTGGCATAGATGATTTTGTTTTATTTTAAAGTAAGCTTTTTAATTTAAAAAAAATAAAAATTGCGAACGACAAATTCATTTGTACCCTACTTTCCGCGTGATAAGATGAGTATCAATGAATTTATAAAGCTCCTGAGCTTGAACCTTGTAACAGTGGTAGAGCCACGCGGCAGCTTTGCTGTTGCACGTATGGGCCGGCTCAAACCGGGGTGGTACCACGACCTCACAGAATACCGGCGTGAAGTGGAAGCTCTGCTTCCGCGTTTCGTCTGGTGAGTGCAGGTGGCTAGAGGCCCAAATCCCTCCCCCCCCCATGAACATGGTAGCAGAATTAAATAATGATAGACTACCCCAGGAGGGTACCAGCACCCCTGGAGAATCCCTCGCTGAGCATACACGAGCATGTTTCTCCACTTCTGAGCGTGGGTGCTCAGGCTGCCCCGCGTATTCTGGGGGGGGGGGGGGGCAAAATTCCGCTCAAGACTACAACTGCTCGGGGCACACGGAGCAACAAGACCAAGACGACCCCTGCCACGCTGTCCGTGAATTTCTGCAATATCAGAGGACTTCACTCTAACCTAAACGCCGTCCACTACCATCTCGAGACGGCGAGGCCGGCTCTTTCTGACCGAGACGCAGGTGTCCTCTCTGGCTGATGTCTCGTATCTATCCTACCCGGGGTACAAACTGGAACACTCCTTTGTGCCTCGGGTTGGAGTTTGCGTTTACGTCAGAGAAGACATCTGTTCTCGACGCCTCGGCAGACTTGAAGGTTCGGACCTGTCCATCCTTTGGCTACGCGTAGACAGCGACGACCATCCGCGCGTCTACGGGTGCCTCTATAGGTCCCATAGCGGTAATGCCGAAACAGACCGGCTCTTCGTCCACGTCCACCTCCACGTCAATGGCTACAGATTCGTATCTACAGCAGATCCCGTCCGCAGAGATCGTGATCCTCGCCGACTTTAACGCCCATCACGCCGAGTGGCTTGGTTCACGTTTAACCGATCATGCGGGGAGATCTGTTCATGATTTTGCCTTGGCATATGGTCTGACTCAACTGGTTACTTCGCATACGCGGATTCCAGATGTGGAGGATCATGCACCTTCCCTGTTGGACTTTCTGCTGACCTCTCACCCGGAGGGATATCAGATTTCCGTCGACGCCCCTTTAGGCTCCTCGGACCATTGCCTTGTTCGGAGTGTGGTGCCACTCACGCTGAAATCGCATTTGCATTCTGCAGGCTGCCGCCGTGTTTGGCACTATAGGTCAGCCGATTGGGATGGGGTGCGGTCTTTCTTTGCATCCTACCCTTGGGAGCGGGTTTGCTTCTCGCCGGACGATCCCAACGTTGTTGCGGATTCTGTCGCTGATGTGGTACTTCAGGGTATGGAACTTTTTATTCCTTCCTCTGTGGTGTCCATTGGAGGCAAATCTCAGCCATGGTTTAGTCGCTCCT